TGTCAGTGATGCTACATTTTTCTTTCATTTGGCCGGAATAGCAAGCTGCTTTCGATCTGTACACGTAAGCCATTTAATTTGTATATTACACAAATGTTTCCGCGAACTGAGAGTTTTTAGGTTAGAAAGGTGCAAAAGTGCAGAATCACTCCAGCATCCCCTTAAAGGGCGAGAAAAATTATAGACAAAACTATTTGTAATAAAAAAAAGCAATTTTTTTTCTTTTATACGTTCTCCCAGTTAAAGACCCAACGAATGCTGCGATAGCTTTTATTGTGTCGTTGTTTTACAATGACTGTGTTTATGCCACTTCGCAATGGCAAATGTGTGGGCTAACATTAGTTTTAACGAGATGCGTTGTACGAACACGAGAAATCCAACTCATTATTATGATTCGCGTGGAAGGTACCGTCTACTGGAAACAGTCATTTCACACGCGCGTTCTCGCGGTCGTGGAAGGTCGGTACGTTTCATGGAGCGTGAAATTTCTCGTTGCGTTTTGCCGCCAACCGTTTCGGTTCTGTTCGCTCTCAATCTCGTTTCACAATCGTCGCGCGCATCGTCTTATCTCCTCAATCCCGGATTCTATTTCTGAACGGGAGTCGTTGCGAAATTAGCACTAGAGAATTATACGGACCTATTAATTATATACAGACCTTCGAGGCTCTTTCCGAAGTTTTAATTCAGCCGACTTTGCATGTATATATATTCATCGCTGTTTATCGCCTTGGTTTAAATATACTTTTTTGAAATGTCATAGCGATTTATCAGCATCTCTAATTAGCACTGCAAACATTATTCAGTCCGGTTTTGATAAATAGAAGATGTTGCAACTATTGCCAATTCATTTCAATGATCTTCTAAAATGCTTTTTTTAAAGATAACATCTTTTCGGGTCACACGATGTACATGTTGACGGCGATATTACGGATAAAACTGACATCGCCTTAAGTAATCACCAATTGTCGCGCAATAAAAGTTCGGTACAAAGTTGCAATTGGATGACGGCGCGTCGACTTTCAATGTGTCAGTGATGTTCGTGATACATCAGTGACGGTCAATCGCATCTATCCGTGCAGTTTGGATTCAGTAATTTTCAAGACGGCTCGAGTTTACGGATGACGAATTGGCAATAATTGCTGTAACTCCCGATGAAGAAGAAGCAAATAAGATCGAACGGCCCGTATACGGGACTGTGCCGGACGTGTGTGAATACGTCCATTAAAAAACAAGAAAACAATATTTATGTGTAAATGAACCTTAGCTCGATTAAAATGAAAACGATAAACTGGGAATTGCGTTTTATACCGGGCCTATAAAACAATATCGATAGGACTTGCGAATAGAATGAAAAATATTTCCGTTTTGTATATCCTTTTAAAATGTAAATTCTCTCCAGAACGCGTTATTCAAAACCGAGCCGAAAGGCGATTATGATAATTAATGTATCTCAAATTCGCCGAAAGCGTAAGAATCTTAAGATACATCTCAATTATGTAAAAATGGTGAGAAAAAAACACAGGCTTGAACTGCAGACGACGAGTGTGTTCGTTAGAAATATGTTGGCAAGTCTAAAGCTGGGTGGAAGAGACACGAAGGAAAACGTGGCTCGACGATTTTACTCCGGGCTCACCGTGGGCGCAGTCATCTCCGTGATATCCAGGATCGCACCGGCATTCGTTCGGTGCTACGCACACACCTGCCACACATTTTTCGCAAAACGGTGAACAGCCCGCATCCGCTTCCGCATCGCCGTGAGTCACTTTGTATCCCTCGCAGCATTCCTCGAGGGTCCTCGATTTTTCCTCCGTCTACATATTTCGAAATACATGAATATTATTAAACAAGTCGCCCAAGTTGGTAGGCTAAAAATATTACTCTCCGATTTACGTTCTAATTGATCTATTAAAACGTCTGTCAGAACGTCGTGTCAGAAGAGCACCTTTAATTTCACTAATCGCGTCAGGAGAACGTGCGCGATTTCAGCAACCGCTAATAATTCTTTGACACTCTCGTCTCGTTGATATAATAACTAGATGATTTGACAGTCTATACCGTTGGCATGAGAAATAATCAAACACGCTATTAGAGAAAAAGACAGCATGACGACATATTGTGCTTTTTTCGTTTTAAGAACGATTTCACTGATGACTCCCAGCTACAGCGAGGAATTCCGGAGATAAGAACGATCGTTATATCACTCTCTAAAGCATGAGATTTCAATTATTGGCGAGAGTAAAAGTGAGAACGGTTGGCGCGGAATGCAGGGAGGGCACACGATGGTAAAACGAAGGAGGGCCGCGGGGAGAGAAACAAGATGAGGAACACACGCGTAACGAGTTCCTCCTCGCAGTATTGAATGATCGGTCAAACACATCCAAACAGCGCAATAAAAATATCAGAGATACGATGCAAACAGAAACAAAATGTATGCGAACGGGTTGAGAAAATAACAGCCGATATTTAACTGGAATTAATTTTCTCGTCAGAAATAAATTTCTACTTGGTTTCTTACTTATCGCTTCATATTTTTCCCGAGTCTACACTGTGAAAAGTTTTCATCGGATAAACCAATTAAATAGTGTTTCCGATGGTTAACCGATTACGTTTTCCGATTAAATTATGGATACATTGTAAAAAAAGTATGTAAAATTACATACACAATAAGCGTAGCGATTACATTATTAATAACGGAAGTATATAAATTTACGTACTTTTACCACAGACATTTGTTTTGCTCTTTTTGCTGTGTAAATGTTTATACTTGATGAAAAATTACAACAAATTGTAAAATTTACATAATTAAAAGCAAGCAGTTTTCTTATTATATAAGGTAATAATTTTATCTGCAAGGTGTAAATTTACAGACGTATGTAAATATACACCTTCAATAGATGGTCCCAATATTACCCACTACAATAATTGTAATATTACATGTAATTTTTTTACAGTGTACATCCGATGAAATTTCTCCGATGAAATGCAGTTACCGATTTGATTGAAAACCCGATCATATTTTTCAACGGATATACAATCTAATCGGATATATCCGTTTGTTATTATAACGTAATTGGATTATCCGATGAAATTTAATCCAACATTTTTCTCAGTGTACGTAATACATACACGTCTCGCCGCTAATGCTTTTGATGAATTTGATTTTTATTTCGACAAAGCTCTCTAATAACGATTGAGTATTATTTTTCAAACGCGCTATTGCACGATTTTTTTGGGGGGAGGAGAATAAAAACATTGAAGATTGAGTGTCAAAGACTCGAGCGATAATAAATTCTCTCTGATGTAACCCGCTGTAGGAGAATACGCGCGTGAACACAGCTGCTGCAAAATATCGGAAATATCCTCTATGTGAACGTTATTACATTCCACCGCCGTTTTTACTGCATTCGCGATCGCGAATTTCGATCTTACAATGTTGCGGCGGACCGATGTGCCGTAGAATCGCGTTTATTCAACGTTCTCTCCTCTACTCGATTATGGACGAACGACTGGCTTGTAAAATGTGTAGCGCACCTTTAGTGCGCATTATTACGTAAATTCCGCACCTCCAATTTTTCAACCGGACGTTTGACACGACGTCAAAAAAGATAACGACTTCATAATGTAACCATTACAAACAAAGTATGTATCTGATACATAAACCGAATTATATTGATTGATGTACACGTTGTGAAATTTGAGGTCTCTTTTGCTTTCACTGCGGCGCCCAGGGAGGTTGTTTTTTTTAAACCTTGTATATGTGTAACGTTACGAAAGTATTATCATATTTCATGATTTTCGAACATAAAAGATGGGCTTTATGTGAAATACACTGAACACATATTTAAATTACTTAATAAATCATTGGTTTAAGTAATTTAAAAAGGTAACTGACAAATTAATTTATTCTCGGGAACAAATCATAAAATATGATTTTTTAAATTATTTTAGCAGAATCCCAATTGAAATTGTAATATAGTAACTAAAGGTTTAATTTAAAAACTGACGTGTAAACTGACACGCTTCTCGTTAAATCGTACAATATTGAACTCGCGCGGAACTGTGTTTTTATTTATACACCACAATGTAATATTTAACGTTGAACGGACCGGTAATTTCCTTGTACGTAAAAACTTAGCTGTAAACCCATTAAGTTAATTGACGAACATGTTCTGTATCTCGTCATAAATCATATGGAATTGTAGATGTTTACGGCGAGAGCTACCAGATGCACTGGAAACTGACGTCAGAGTATTTTTTTGTTCCCACTAAACGCCGTAACTGACATGATTAATTCGCAGTGCAAACCTTTCGCTTGCGTAATAAGACTCTCTTTCACAAAGGGGAGAGATAAGTTATTGATTACAATATTGCGCTCAACTATTTATAGCCGTATATAGTGAACCATATTATATCGTACGTGCGCCTTGATCGACGCTATCGATTTCAGAAATCTCGCGATGCCCGATAGTGTCATCTCGACAGCATCTGCGTGACCCTGTTGTTCTGTCATAGAACAAGCAGATTTATAATTACAACAGAACGTTATCCGGGAATATATATTGTGCAAGTGCAATTGTAATCATTTTAAAGTAACCTCGTAAAAACATATTAAATCAATTGCATAATTATATTAAATAGCATCTGCAATTATATGAATGTCACGCATACCATATAATTTAGTTAGGTGTAGACAACATTTAGAATTGAAAGTTGATAATGCTTTACGACCTGTTTGCATGTACATGCTTTAAGCGTCCCAGATTAATGTTGTACAATACCTTTTATTAACTTAATAATTAACATGATATATTCTGATTTATATCTATGCTTAACGTTCTCTCTCTCTCTCTCTCTCTCTCTCTCTCTCTCTCTCTCTCTCATCTAATGTTTATGCGTTATTACTCAAAAGTTGTGCAATTCAGACGTTTTCTAACATAGTAGAAACCGCCAAGCGACCTCGACTTGTCCAGCGGTAATTTTCGCTCATTATACAATATTATTACCCAGCTCGAATTTTTTTGTTCAACGTTCCTCTTTTTTTCTTATAATTCGGCCATCAAGTGACACTGCCATTACAAATACCAACTACGTCATACATGTTTCGTTACAGTGCGTTAATGGCGACTTTTTAATTTAATCGCACTATACGAACGATCCCTTATCGCTGATATATTTTTAATACATTTCCCCTGTGAAGTTAACGACTTCACTTCTCACATGCCGCGGCCACTTTATTCGCCCGTAATTCTCCGCGATCGGTAATTAGCGGTTTATTACGTATATTTCAGCTTCATTCCCGGCTAGTAACTTCAATCTACTCGCGCGGGACGGTTTCTTCTTAATGACCGCGATCGGAAAGAAAAATAATGCGTTCGAGTCTCAACCGACGTTGGGCCGCTGTTTTAAATAGCCATACAATTTTGCGTTACATGAGATTCGCACGTTCGCCAGAGACTTGTCTGGTAATTAAAGAAGCACACGGTTACCTTCGCACAACGGCACCTACGTTGGAATTCGCGCCGTTGTGCCGCTTTTACGTGGGCACTGCGCTACCAATTGCACACAAGCTCCTCACGTAGTCTGCGCGCGTACGCGGGGACAACGGTCTTTCGTGGTATGTTAACAAGCCGAAACCTTCGATCACGCGGCGAGGCGAATTCATGAGGCATGTTACGACCCGACGAGTAGATTCGCGGCTTCGATAAACAGCGGATTCGCGAGGCACCGATGAAAGCTGTAATTGTTTTGCATCGTAACTCCGCCGCGTACACACTAGATCGTATCGCGATAATGCGAGGGTTACCTCGCAAAGCTCTATAAGTAGGTCGATAGCGGGTATAACAAGCAGATGTTTCTACTGGCGTTAGGTCCCGATTAATTAACGCGAATCGTTGATGGGAATTATAGAAACCGTAACAATTTACGGGTTACGTGTTTATTACATGGATAGACTGGTCATTTGGTATTCTTTGCACTTGAAATGAGAACATGCTTCGATGCTTTATCGTTCGCCTCTGGTTCTAACGTGAGGCTTTATAAAAAAGATCTCACATTTTCTGTTCTATTTTTAATTATGTTATATAGGAAATCTGTACGCTGCAATAAAGAAATTCTACAACAATGTAAACGGGCGATAATTCTCCTTTACATGAACTAACGTCTCGATTAATAATTTAATCTCTCAAAATAATCTCGCGACCTCACTGATTACATCAACAATTAACTGACAATTTTATTTTTCAATTCGCAAACTGTCGTTCCAGTTTGCTGACAAAAAGTCAGACTAGTAAATAAACATTAAATAATAACCTAGTAAATAAATATTAAATAATCTATAAGCGATAATTATTTATATGCAAAGATCGCTCTTTTATACAGCGATTTACTTGGCCAAGAAGGGAAAAAGACTTTCGAAACGGCACGATAATTATTAGCAGCGTACGTTGACGGCGTCGACGTAAATATCTTTTTTTTTTCTCGTAAACTGCTCCAAGAAAGTTCATTGTCCACATGATAAACCGCGCGCAAAATGCCTCACGTTCGCGGATATATTACGCGTGTACATACGTAAATGTATGGCCGTGCACCATACTTGGCGTGTGTTATTACATTGCGGGCGTTCTCGTCCCAGGCGCGGATGCACGCCTCACACGACACGCTGAAATTTCCATTTTAGGCTGATCGTTTCCTTTCGGCTTTGACATAATGCCGCGCCGGTGCGGCATGCCGATTACAAAACGCGCCAGCGCGAGCGAGATCATTTCACTTCCGGCCGACTCCTCGCGATCCTCGCGCGGGTACGCGTAACGCGCACGAATTTTCAAAACCGGCCGCGGGATTCCGAGGGGCCTTGTTAATCTAATTGGCAGACGCGAGGGACTTGTCGTGAAATCCGATGAGAAAGCGCGAGTTACTCAATGGTTTAATTCGCGGATTTTGACACCGCTAACTCAGTAAACACCGAGCGTCAGTTACAAATCACTTATGTTACGATTTTTCACTTAACAATGTAAATGCACCCAGCGAGAAATAACTCGTCGATCGATGTCGAAACAATGTCGAATCGACATCAACGCCGTCAAATTGATGCCGAATTTGACAATGTCGATGCCCAGTAAACACCGAGCGTCAGTTACATTGCACTTATGCAGGGTTGGGAAAGTTACTTTATATAAAAGTAACTAGTCACAGTTACAGTTTTTTCGCTAACAATGTAACTAGTTACAGTTACAAGTTACCATTTCTGAAAAGTAACGCGTTACAGTTACAGTTACTGGAAAAGTAACGAATGGTTACTTTGCAGTTACTCCCTTGCAATAAAAATACAAATATCGAATCTGCATTTGAATTGTAAAGCGGCGATAAAGGCGTTTAGCGCAAATGCAAGGCCTAATGCGATCTATGGAGGTTGAAAATATATATAAAGTAACTATTAATGTAACTATTAAATTAGTTACTAGTTATCGAAAAAATATAACTGGGTTAAGTTACAGTTACAGATGTAGAGAAAGTAACGAAGTTAAGCTAAAATTACGAAAAAGAAGTAACTGCAACTGTAACTTCGTTACAAGTAACGAGTTACTTCCCAACCCTGCACTTAGTTACGATTTCTCACTCAACAATGTAAATGTACCCCGCGAGAAATGACTCGTCGATCGATGTCGAAACGACGTCGAATCGACATCAACGCCGTCAAATTGATGCCGAATTTGACAATGTCGATGCCC